GAAAGTGGTCGGCCAAATTCCGATTGCCCTATCCAAAGAGGCAAAATATAATCTGTTAAAAAGAAGATGTTGTTAACCTGAAAGTAATCGGTCAAATTCTGATTTCTCCATCAAAGAGACAAAATATAATCTAAGTTAAAAAGATGAGGTTGTTAAACTGAAAGTAATCGGTCAAATTCCGATTGCCTATCCAAAGGGGCAAAATATAATCTAAGTTAAAAAGATGGTATTGTTAAATCGAAAGTGGTCGGCCAAATTCCGATTGCCTATCCAAAAGGGCAAAATATAATCTAAGTTAAAAAGATGGTATTGTTAAATCGAAAGTGGTCGGCCCAATTCCGATTGCCCTATCCAAAGAGGCAAAATATAATCTTTTAAAAAGATGGTGTTGTTAAACCGAAAGTGGTTGGTCAATTTCTGATCCCTACGATGGAAAAATATTTTAAGTAAAAAACTTGTGAAGTTTCTGAAGACCTTGCAGTCGTCCAAATGCCGACCATATATAATCCACATGAAAAAGTATAAGTTAGACCTTTCGGTTTTAAAACCCAAAGCAATCGTCAAAATTCCGATCTCATAGTTGAGAAAATAGTTCTAAAAACTTGGATTTTTAAACTGGTAGTTTGGGGATACAGAGCAATCGCCTAAACCATAAACCCTAAACTTGTTAAACGAAAGTAATCGCCCACGTGTCGGGTCAAATAATAAGTGAAACATTTTCCAAATTAAAATGAATTTTGATCAGAAGATTGCCTAAAATCCGATTCAAGTAATAAACAGAAACTTCCCAAGTCAAAACATGGAATTGGGACAAACAAATCGCCCAAATGCCGATTTATAAAGAAACAACATGTGAGTCGCCCAAATGTCGATTCTTCCGACTGAATGTAAATGAGAGGCATCACCTTTAGTCGCGAATATACCGACTTAAAATGAGGAAATCAATCATATGAGGAAATGACGAAGCTAGAGATTCTATTTTGAATTCGGGGAGTCGTTCAAAAACCAATTGCATGAGCTTAATGGGAATGGGGCGACCTTCTCGATTTATACTCGCCCAGTCGAATTTTTACCGATCAATCACGAGTTTGTCTTCGAGTTATTTATACTCGCCCAGTCGGATTTGTACCGATCAATCACGAGTTTGTCTTCGAGTTATTTATACTCGCCCAGTCAGATTTGTACCGATCAATCACGAGTTTGTCTTCGAGTTATTTATACTCGCCCAGTCGGATTTGTACCGATCAATCACGAGTTTGTCTTCGAGTTATTTATACTCGCCCAGTCGGATTTTTACCGATCAATCACGAGTTTGGTGCCTTTAAAATAACACATGTTAGAAATCATAGAAGAGAAGTAGGGGATGATATTTATTAAAATTGAGAAATTATTAGTTTGTGGTGCCTCGTTAAAAACCTTCTCAGCAAAAAACCCCTCTCATTTTTACGGGGAAAAAATACTGAGTTAGGAAAAGAGTGCACCTAATAAAAAATGAATAGACTAACTATAATAGAAACGTAAGTTTGCTGCGTTCCAAGTCCTCGGTATCTTCCCTCCGTCCAGAGTTCTCAATCGGTACGCTTCTTTGCCGACCACGTCGTCAATTTTATAAGGGCCGACCCATTTTGGTGACAATTTGTTCCTCATTTGAGTTAGTTGAGCGCGCTTCAAAACGAGGTCTCCTACCACAAAATCTCTTGGGACGACCTTTGTATTGTACTTGAAAGCTGCCCTTCGCTGAGCTGCTACTTGATTTATCCGGGCTCTTTCTCTTGTTTCTCTAATCAAATCCAAATCAACTCGTCTTCCTTGATCGGATTCTTCCTTAGAGAAGCATGTTGCTCGTACAGAGGGTTCGGTGATTTCAATCAGGATCATCGCATCTGTCCCGTACACTAGATTGAAAGGGGTGTCCTGGGTCGACGAATGAACAGTCGTGTGGTATGACCATATCACTCGGGGAAGCTCCTCCACCCATGAAGCGCCAGAGTCCTGGACGCGCTTTTTCAATCCCGATAGAATAACCTTGTTGGCTGACTCCGCTTGGCCATTAGACTGGGGGTGTTCAACGGAAGTAAATGTCATTTGGATACCGATCTCCCGACAGAAATCGCGGACTCTCCCACTTGCGAATTGTGTCCCGTTATCTGATACGAGCACTTGAGGAACGCCATATCTGCATATCACATTCTTCCATAAAAATGTCCTTACCCTTTCTGCCAAAATAGTTGCTACTGGCTCCGCCTTGATCCATTTGCTGAAGTAGTCTAAGCCACTATTAAGAATTTCAACTTCCGTACTGCAATCGAAAATGGACCGAGAATATCAATACCCCACTTGTTGAATGGCTAAGGAGACAGGATTGAATGGAGTCTTTCAGCTGGGGAATGGTGTAAGGTTGCGTGTCTTTGGCATCCATCACACTTTTGGACCCAATTGACGCAGTCTTTTCTCAAAGTCAGCCAAAAGTATCCTGCCCGCGCAACTTTATATACTAGAGCTCGTCCTTCGATGTGACTTCCACACATGCCGCCATGCACTTCATCCATCACTCTCTGCGCTTGTGATGTAGTCAAACATCTCAGAAGGGGAGTGTTGAAACCCCTTCGATATAACCTTTCATTGATGACTACAAACCTGGGTGACTCCCTTTGTATCAATGACGCCTCCCTTTTGTCCTCTAGCAACTCTCCCCTTGTCAGGTATGCGATATACGGCCCCATCCACGAATCAAGTTCTTCTTGGATGAAAAGAACACTTCCCTGTGGCTCATTAATACTCGACTGATCTAAGGTTTCCTAGATAACCGACCAAGTGGCCCCTGGCTTCTTTGTGCTTGCTAACTTAGAGAGGAGATCGGCTCGCGAATTTTGTTCTCGCGGCACATGGTTAAGTGTAAACTCTCGGAAGTTTTCCGATAAGAGCTTAACCTTTTCTAGGTACTTAGCCAATTGGGGATCCTTTGCCTGGAAAGTTCCAGCTACTTGCCCCGTGATCAACTGAGAGTCACTCCGAGCTGATAAACTCGTTGCTCCCATCTCATTTGCCAAATTCATTCCTGCTAACAATGCCTCGTACGCGGCTTGGTTATTGCTTGCCCGGAATTCAAACCGTAGTGACTATTCTAGTAATATTCCCCCCGGACCTTCCAAGACGATTTCGGCTCCGCTCCCTCCTAGATTTGAAGCACCATCCACTGATAGAATCCATTGGGTTTCTCCAACTCTACCCTCCTCAACAGGAGGGGTCAATTCCATCAGAAAGTCAGCTAAGGCTTGAGCCTTGATTGCTCCTCTCGGCTCATACTTGATGGAGAACTCTGATAGCTCGACCGACCACTTCATCATTCGGCCTGCCAGGTCGGGTTTCTATAAGACTTGCCGAATCGGATGGTCAATTCAGATTACTACCTCGTAGCTCTGGAAGTAGTGTCTCAACTTCCTCGCGGTAACTAGTATCGCAAGGGCTAGCTTTTCAATCTTTTGGTACCTTGTCTCCCCTCCCTGTAAGACCCTACTCACGAAGTAAATAGGAACTTGAGAAGCTTCTTGCTCTTGTACAAGAACCGAATTGACGGCTCGATCGGACATCGATATGTAAACCAACAAGGGGAGATTTGGTCGTGGTTTTGTCAGAATCGGCGACGATGCCAGTGATCTCTTGAGTTCCGAGAAAGCTTCTTCACACTCAGTCGTCCAAGTGAAATGATCGTTCTTCTTCAGACATTGGAAAAGCGGCAACACCTTATCAGCTTCCCTTGACAGAAAACGAGACAGAGAGGCAATCCTTCCCGCCAGTTGTTGAACCTCCTTCACCGTAGATGGGCTCCTCATATTGATGATGGCCGAGCACTTGTGGGGGTTTGCTTCGATGCCACGATGAGTTAGTAGAAAACCAAGGAATTTTCCTGCTTGGACCCCGAACGAGCATTTTTCGGGATTCAACTTGAGTTGGTACTTACCGATGGTGTCAAACAGTTCCTGCAAATCGTCAAAATGTCGATCGGCACTCGCCGACTTCACCACCATGTCGTCCACATAAGGTTCCACATTCCGACCCAGCTGATTCACTAAGACTTTGTCCATCAATCGTTGATAAGTCGCCCCCGCGTTCTTTAGGCCAAACAGCATAACCCTATAACAAAAGTTAGCTTGATTCGCTATGAAGGGTGTCTTGTCTTTGTCTGCCGAGTGCATGCGGATCTGGTTGTACCCCGAGTAGGCATCCATGAAGCTCAGTAACTCGTATCCCGACGCTCCATCAACCAAACAGTCTATGTTGGGCAGCGGGTATGAGTCCTTTGGGCAAGCCTTGTTAAGATCGATGAAGTCCGTGCACATCCTCCACTTTCCATTACTTTTGCGAACCATCACCACATTCGCCAACCATGTCGAATACTGGATTTCTCGGACATGTCCCGCCTGTACTAACTTTTTCGTCTCTTCCGCAATGGCCCTTCGTTTCTCTTCTCCAAACTTCCTCCTCTTCTGGATTACTACTTTTGCATTCGGGTCTATAGCTAGTCTGTGGCACAGAAAATCGGGGTCAATGCCAGGCATGTCGCTGGAGTGCCATGCAAATTCTGACGCATTTTGTTTTAAAACCTTGACCAGCCTTTCTTCATTTTTCGGGGTTAAAGAAGTACCGATCTTCACCGTTCTTCCTTCCATCACTGCTACTTCCTTGACATCCTCCGCGGGGGCAGGTTGGTGGTCAAATTGTCCCATCCTAGAATCCAGTTCAATGGAATGAATGTGTTTTTCAGCTGGTGTGGAATATAAACGCCTTCTCGCCTTCAAACTGTCCGCATAACACCTTCGGGCGACCTCTTGATCTACAGTGAGGACTTCGACATCTCCATTTGGCAATGGGTACTTCACTTTCAGATGTGATGTTGACACGATGGCCCCTAGTTTGTTCAACGTAGGCCTGCCGATGAGGATGTTGTAAGACGACTGAGCATTCACCACCAAGAACCGAATGGTCACCGTTTTCATTTACTAGCGCTGACCAAAGGTCGTTTCTAGATCGGCATACCCCTTAGCCATAACCTGATCTCCTACAAAACCTACTAGGGTCCCTGCGTAAGGTACTAGTCGGTCGTTGGGGATCTTCATTCCCACGAAAGCTTCCCAAAAGAGGATGTCGGTCGAGCTTCCCTGGTCGACCAGAACGCGCTTCACGTTATAGCCCATCACTATCGTCGATATAATGATAGGATCATCCTCGTGAGGAGCTACCCCTTCGTAGTCGGCGTCCGAGAAGGAAATCGTGGGTTGGGGAGGTCGGCAGATTTCCGACATTAACAGGAAGGAGCGCATGTACCTTTTCCGAGCAGCCGAGGTGACTCCTCCTCCCGCAAATCCTCCTACCACTGTGTTGAAATCCCCGTGAATTGCTTGCTGATGGACCTCCGATGACTTTGTTGGGGTGTCCTTGGGGGGAGTCCTCTCTCTATGCCTATCCCTCCTTGTGTCGTCCTGTGCACGCCTGTGTCGCCTGTCCGATGAGCCTTCTTCCTGTTTTCTTGCCAAAAACTTTTTCAGGCGTCCCTCCTTGATCAAACGTTCGATCTGTCTTCTAAGGACGAAACAATTTTCTGTGGAATGCCCATGAGTCCTATGAAACTCACACCAGTCGGTCTTGAAGGGACCCAATTGGCGCTCCGTCGCTGCTGGGAACTCAAATAGCGACGCATTGTTGACATCATGAAGTATCTGCCTCCTAGGGACGTTGAGTGGAGTAAACTTTTCTTCCTCATTGCTTCGTGTCCACTCGCCCCTTACCCGACCACCGTGATCTGCCTGTCGGTAGTTACTCTCCTTAATGTTGTAACAATCACGTCTCTTACTCCAATCTGAGCGCGGTCGGAGGTGCTTATTGCCCTCCTTGTTGTTGCCCCCCGCTTCTCGGCTTTCCGCTGCTCTTTTGTTAATTTGTCCTTCCTCCGTCTTGATGTGACTTAGGGTGAAAGCCCTCACTTCCGACATCGTTTTACAATTTGCTCTCTCGAGTGCGATGTCGAAAGCTCCAGACCTTAGACCCTTCTGGAATGCGATGACTGCCATCTTTTCATCCAACGACGCTTTCCTCAAGGCGACCTCGTTGAACCTTTGCAGGAAGTCCTTCAGCGACTCCTCGCGTTGCTGTTTGAGGTCGAACAAGTCCGACGTGATCGATGGTTTCTTCTTGTTAGCGGCAAACTTTGCCATGAAGAGCCGACTAAAGACATCGAAGTTGGTGATTGATCGGTCAGGGAGACCACTAAACCAATCAAGTGCTGCCTTCTTGAGCGTGCCCATGAACAGCTTGCAACGGGCTTCCATACTCGCTCCACAAATCAGCATCTGAGCTCGGAAATTCGTCAAGTGCTGGCTGGGATCCTGAGTTCCATCGAAAGGCTCGACTTGAGGAATCCGATGATCCCTCGGGATGGTCTCGGCCTCTATGGCTTCCGAGAAAGGTCGAAAATCCCTAGGGACTTCCATCATGACATCTTCCTCCACCGTCCTGGCGTTGGCTGCTATCATGGCCTGCATCTCATTCGCTCGCCTCCTGATCTCTTCATTCTCTCGTTGAATGGCCTCCTCTCTCTCCCTGGATCGTGCGTTCTCCTCCCTTAAGCCATTGATCAAGGCCATCATCTCCTCCATGGTAGGATTTTGTGAGTCGTGGTTTGGGTTGCCGCCTCTCACCATAGTAACGTGCAGGTTCTTCTGTATTACTTGGGGCGCAGGAGTAGTTTCACCGGAGCCCCACGGTGGGCGCCAAAATGTTCCGGCCAAAAGGTGGACTAGGGTTTCTTCCTAGGTTAAGCCTTAGAGCTAGAACATTCGAAAGTGTAATCTACCTTCTTCGCCTTAGGGTTTTTGGTTTTATACTTTTCTTATTCATGGGCTTCATGGGCCCTTCTTGTTCATGGGCCTTGCGGGCCCCGAGAATGTAGGGATTTCCTTAACCGTATCTATCTGGGAAATACTAGACGAACGAGGGTGGGACCTTGCCCTTGCTATCGGATACCTCGCGTATGGTGGAGGTGAGATCGGACCCCGACCGACCATACCCGTGCTGGACTCCAGTCGGATACTGGCCGAGCAGGCTCTTATTGGAGAGTGTGATCGGAGTTCGGCCGACCAGCTTCACATAGAGGAGCCGAGTCGGATAATGACCGAGTGACTCCTAAAAAGGGGGTCGGTTAGGGCCATGGTCGGCCTGGCGCCTATAGGAAGTTCAGGTCGGACTCCGACCTGGACGGTCCACTTCTTGAAAAAGCAAGCTAAAGAATACTTAAGTTGAGCCATAAGTGACTTATGAAAGAATACTCGTATCTTTACAAAGATAGTGAAACTTGATCAATAACCAAACATAATCTTGATGATTGAGATAAATTAGTATAAAAATATTGTGTTCTTTGTTCTTAACTTTTCATATACACATTTAAAGTTTTGATACTACTTTGATGTTTTGAAAAAGTGTTGAGTTTTTTTATTAATACTATTTAATCCTCCTTCTAGTGTCTTCCTTTTCTCCATAGTACTATTGACCACTAGGATATGAATATTGATCTCTTCACACCCTCAACCACCGAGACTATGGATCCAAGCGATGAAATCATTTCAGCATACTCGACGACTGAGACTAAAGACTAAGTTTGACTAAGAGCATTAACTTGGAACAATCAAGATTATTGATGGCTAATTCATGATTAGGGGTGTATTACCTAAATGATAACTAAAGACACCAACATCCCATTATGGTTAGTATGAATAATGAATTATATTGAGGTAAAAAGTATTATTCATGCATTTATTGCTGACATGTATTACTTACAGCTAACACATTACTTGAGCCCCAAAATGCCTTTTGCAGGTACTGCACTCAATAGAGGTCTTGGTGATTAGATGGTTTGAGAAAAGACAAGAAGTTATAGGGAAGAGTAAGAGAAAGTTACCAAGGTTCCCTAATATAGGTACATGCACTACAAACATATAGTGACACACTCTATAGTGATATTGTGATTAAAAATTATTTTTACCTACACTATAAATATAATATGTGTTGGTATATTGTTAAAAAGTGTATGTATAGCCTATAGTGACACATAATATATCTTGTTAAATCTCATTCAAAATGACCATTAAAATTGTGTGTAACTATATGTCGAATATACCAACATATTTTGTACCTATAGTGATAATTTTTGTATGCTACTATATGTAAAATTTCTTATAGTGATGGACATTTATATCATTTTATAAATATACTTTTCTTTCTTTCATTTTTTCCTTCTTTTTTCTCTTCTATGAATCAATTAAATAATCAACTCACTTTCAGCCATTTTCCTCTACTCACTTATAGATTTTTGTATATATTCCTTTCGTCCTATTATAAATGTCATCCTATGTTATTTTACACAACTCAAGAAAAATCAATAAATAGATGAAATAGAATAGTAATTTTATAAAATTAATGTTATTATTAACCCTTTTTACTATAAACAATGAAATACAACAACCACTTTCTAAATAACAAAACTAAGGGTACAAATGAAAAAAAAGGTAATTAAAACTACATTAAAAACTAACATGATACTTATTTTGAGACTTTTTTTTTCTTTTAACACAACACTTATTATGGGATAAAGGGATTTTTTTATATAAATTTATGAACACATGAGAAAATAATAAAGTAACTCATGACAAATAATATAAATCAACAAACTAAACAAAAAAAAACAAATAAATATAAAAATATATAGCATGGTTAAATATGTTGCAAAAAAATATAATTAAATTTGCAAATGAAAATAATTTGTCTTATTAAAATTCCAATATGTGGGAGTATTTGGAAGAATTTATATCGAACTTATTTTAATTTATGAAAATGACTTATAGAATTTATTTTAATAATTTTCATGTTCAAATTTAATATATAAATTTTATTATATTAAGAAATTAATAAGTAATGTTCAATTAAGTTGTTCATTTAAAAATATCCTTTATTAAATACATAAGTCAATTGGTCTAGGGAGAAAACACATGTTATTTTCCTAAAACTTCGAAGTTGGAATCCTCTTGGTTAAATACTTTTAGCTACAACTTCAAAGATATTTTTTAGTTACCTTGTTTTCATACATGTAAAAAAGATAATAATGGGATAGATTTAATATAGAAAATAAGTTAGATTTATTTCTAAAGTTAGATAGTTAAAAGAGTGAGAGAGAAGAAATAGAATAAAAACACTTTATATTTTTATATTCGTTCACTTAACCTAAGTTATTCTAGTTACTTTTGAACTCAAAGGATTACACTAACTTGGAAACTTTTTACAACAAGTAATCACATTACAATTTCTAGCTACAATAAGTATTCTTTATGCCACTCCTAACCATCAAGTAACAATACTTTGCAGTATTCTTTAACTAGCTTCTTTAAGCTTACAATAGATAAAGGTCTGAGTGTTTATAGATAACTCTCATAAATAAGATATATAATTTAAATTACACTTAAGAGAAGTTTAACTTGCTAGACAAGGATAGCTAAACTTTAACTTTCTTTGATCGTCCCCTAGACAAAGATTTACAAGACGATTAGACTTGGAGAAATATTAATATATTTTTTGCACAACTTGAAAGTATTAATATTCACAAGGTTCATAGTATAATTCTCTTCAAGTCTTTTCATATTTATAGGTTTCAAAGATATATCTGTTGGTGAAAGCCTTGATACTTGGGCGTTCGAAAACAAATCTTTGATCTTCACAATATAGTTGGTCTTTAATACTTGTTCATATGCTTTAGCGCTTACTTTGGTATGATAAGGGAATGAAGTAGAAAGCAAAGATTTTTGAACATAATGTTGCATGCACTAATAATTTTATTTGTGGCTGACTTTCCTTTTTTGATCACTACACTTGGTTCAAACGTTACCATTTTGTGCACAATCACAAAAGAGGAAATAAAGAAATGTAGCATTTATAACATGCACAAATTATCAGAGCGCTTATTAGTTATACTTTTCAAATGTTTTGTGGAAGAAAATATGCACAAAGTTTTGATGATGCCAAAGCATTGAAGAAAATAAAGGTCAAGTTAAAGCAAGCTGATCAAGAAGTAAAGATCTCAAGTAATAACTAGATAAGTCTTGACTGCTTAGCTTAGTATGTAAAATGAACTTTTAGAATTTGCAAATTTGACTTGGCCATTAAAATAAGAATTTCAAGAAAACCTAAACTTAATACTTTTGAATATAAGAATAAGTTGTTTGAAAAGAAAGAAAAAAGAGTATTCAAAAGATTAAACAAAAATATTTTTAACTGGAAAATAGAAGCTCTTTATATCTTAAGTTTTCATAAGCCAAAACAAGTGACATGTTTCTGGTAATCGATTACCACTTGCTATAATCGATTACCAGAGAAAGAAAACCTTTCAAAATGTTAAAATACTCTCTAGTAATCGATTACCAGTGATTGTAATCGATTACCAGAGCCAAGTTCATGAGTTCGATACCCAGCGGGGCAATTGCTGAGGGGGAGATTGTTGCAGGTTGCATCAATTGTCCCTTGGCAGAGGCTAGGTGGGCCAAGTCACTGTCGAATCATGGCAATAGAATTACTAACTTATCTTTGTTTGATAAACTGCATTCATTTTACATATACTGATGGATTGCTTTTCAGTTTTCACAGTTACTTGTGGGTGCAGTTCTTGTAAATCCTTTTTCTCCCAGCAACTGGCCATTTTTAAGGAAGCAAAACTTGCTAGGTAATCTGTTTGTTTGACATAAATGTAAAAAGCAAAATGTTTAACTTAAAATATAATATGCCTTTTAATTTTGTAGTATGTCGATTTTTAAACTGGTGTGATATTTAGCAATTGGTTGCTATATTAAGGATATTTATAACTACTTTCCAGGCATGTTACATGTATAAACGTATGGGATTTGTATTATTTAATACACGCAGCTTTCTATTCGTTTTATCTGATTATCTCCTTATATGTCAAAATATTTGTGGCACTAAAACTTACAAAGCAAGTATACATTCATATGATTCTTTTATGATATTGAAGATGTTTATGCTTATGAGACAAAGAATCTACTGATATTGTCACAGCAAGCTCTCAAGTAAGTTTACCTTCAAGGGTCCTTTTAAAGATTGCCTAGTTTCATGGACTAATTGGCTTATGTATGTTATTTTGTGTCATGCTCTTGTAGAACCACGTACTTCCTTGAATCTTGCAACTTGTAACTTTGATTTGTTTTAATTGGGTTCCATTTTTCTCTCCCATTTTTCTAAATTAGTACTGTTAGTATTTTCTTGATGATGTTGCAATGATGATTGCTCAATGGCTTGAAC